TGAAAAATTTTGTCGTTCTTGAGAAAGTTGAAAATTTTTATGTGAATTTTTTTTTATCGGTTAAATTTAGGTAATACAAATGACATCAGATTTCAAAGCCACATGATTCTGATAATTCGGCGGGCTTCTGGCGCGTCAAGCACTGACCAATGCAATACTCTTTTTATAGCCCTAATGGAAATTGGGCTAGAGACCAATTGCAGAGATTCCAAACCTCGGACGAATTTTACACAGTAGAAGTTCTAAGAAAGGGAAATCACGCATTTGTCTTGATAAAAATAGCCAAATTTTTGGTTTTGCCAGATTTTTTAATATTAATTGTGACTTTAATAAGAATGGATCTATATTTTTGCAAGAAGCCATAATTGGTACTTCTTTTATAAAGGTCTGCTGATCCTGAAAGAAAATCAATTATATATTTCTTTATATAACAAAGAAGTTAAACTGTTATTTGATTTTTCACTTTTTGATCAGATTATTACAATACTTTCTAAAAAATACTTTCTAGAAAATGCTTTCTCACTCTAATATTTTCTTTTTATATAGTCTGATATTAAAATAGTCCAATAGCTTTGGGTGATATAAAAAAGAAACAAAAACAAACAACAGATGAAGATATTTATATTGAGATTGGCATACTTGAATTTGAATTTTCTCTTTGATAATATAATGTAAATATAAACCACTTTTAATTTATAGTTAAGAAGACAAATTATAAGAGTGGATTTTATTGACTTAACTGCACCATTACTGATTTCTCAAGAACGTCAGCCATATACAATTGTAAAGAGTAACTTTATTGATTTAACTGCTCTGCTCAATATTCCTCTTGATTTGCGTTACTTTTCCCAAAAACGTCAGCTACCTTATCGTAAATAATTAACCTCGAAATAAATTTGCAGTATTTATAAATTATATGTATAAGATCAATAATTAAGGGGAATATTAATACATGTAACTATAAAACATGTAGAACTCAGATAAATCCATATAGATATGAGCATCAACAAGCGTACAGAACCCTTTATTCAAGAAATGAATTCAGAATTTCCGAGGAATTTATTAACATCACGGAAGGCGAAGAGCATAAACTTTCAGCAGAACTAATTCCCGCCATATATAATTGATGACCATTTTTATTTTATCCAAGATTGGGACAGGATCAGTTAATGTTTGGATAATTTATTCGTCCACAAGCTTGGATAGATGACAATATACAGGTTAAAAGTTAGAAAGAGAAAAAAAAATGATTCTCGCTCCATACACATGCTGCTTAGAATGAATTCTTATATGTTTCTTAGCCACGATATATCATTCAGACTCACTAATATTTTTCTTTCTCTTGTAGAAACGGATAAGAAATCACTACAAAGCCTACTTCCTTTCTGCTTTTTCGTATTAATTTAGAAATAACGTTTCTAGAGAACTAAATATTTCGAATAAAAAAAAAGATACCCGCATATACTGTGGGATACTTAATCAACAGTTCTTTCAAGACCTATTTATTTCTAAAGTACGGACGATGAAAATTCTTTCGGTTCTTAGCGAAATCTGTGAATCTAGATGCGGTCATATTCCTCATTCACCGCTTGCTGTCTACAAGATAAATAAATTCAACTACAGGACAAGAATATGAGAAATCTGAAGCAAATTTGTATAATTAGTATGGTTGATATTCGTACAGTTTTTTTTGAACATATTAAGAGATACGTTCAAAAGACAGCAAACGTTACATATTACTGAAAAAATGTACATACCAAATTATTGTGAAATTACACATTAGCTAATTGTAAGACGCTAAAGGACATTTCTTCGTAATCAAATATGTTGAAAAATGGCCTAATTATCTCTATATTGTTCGTTTTTTATTTTTGCACCATAGATATCGAAGGGATATCTGATGTCTACTGTTATTGATAACAACTAGTTTTCTTCTAATACAGGAGCTAATAATTAATAAATGAGCCTTTGACGATAAGTTTTAAGATGTACCTCCAGAATTGATCGATATTGGGATTAATTGTTAGTTTGTGCGACACCCATTTTTTCATCAGTACCATGTTTATTATGGAATGCCGGACTGGACAGAAGTTTTAACGTTGAGAGTTGTTGTTTGACATTTTAGTCTGAATTATAATTATTAAAATTAGCCCGAATTATTAGTTTATTCGCTGTAACTGATCTAACAATTAAATAAAAGCCAACAATTGATCTTGGTATAATCCTTTCCTCTTCCAGGAAAAATGCAACCTAAACGTTGTAGTTTATAAAAATTATAATATGTATTTACAGTTTAGTGAATTCGGATTAAAATCCGGAGATCCGGATTTGTATCATCTATTTGACATGGGATAATGAATATCTTTCTATTTATGAAAAAAAAAAGAATAAACAAAAATTGAAATTCTAAAAGAGGTTGATAAATGAAATGATTTATAAAAATTTTCTTCTTTGTCTTTTAAAGGATGAATGTATAAGTAGAGCATAAAAATTTCTATCAAGGATTTATTTAATTTTACTGTTTAAAATTTTCGAAATATTCAATCAATTGATTTTCGCATTTGGATTTAAATTATAGTAATTATAGTATAGTTTTTTTTTTTCACTTGTATAGTAATTAATAAAGGTTTAATGCGATAAAGTTATAAGTTAGAGTTAACATAAATAAAAAATTTCTAAATATGTAGAACAAATCTTTTAGAATAAAGGTTCCAAATTCTTTTTTTTTTTTTAATTCAACCAATCAAAATTTTCAAAATTTCTTTCATACCAATCAAAGAGATGTTAAACAGATCATGAAATAAGGAAAAGAAAAAGGCAAATTATCCCTTATGTGTGTGTTCCTTTAGCAAACAACTACGCTTTTTTTTTGTAAAAGACTATTTTTTTTTTTTTCTTCTCTCAAGGACTTTATTTTCGACATTAAGTATAAAGCTTTGTTAAGATTCAAATATATATACACCGGTTAAGAGATCGAAGACCAAAATTATAAATTGATAACTTTTTTTTTTTTACACGTTCTAAAATACAATTTCTAAAATACATGGACGGACTAAAATAATCATAATAGCATACATACGCATAATTAATTAATTACAAAAGAATTTTCTTTAAATTAACATTAATACTTTATTGGTAATATGAATTAATATTTCAAATAGTTATTCCGAAGAAATTAATTAACACAGGAAATCATGTTCATACTAAATACAGAAGTGAGTTAATTATTAAATATGTAATTAACTTTCACTTAGGCTAATTTTGTTTCTATAAATGCTATTAATGAAATCAATTCATCATTTCACCACATTATGTGTAAAAGCCGCGTTTCATCATTATCAAAACGCGTGGTTTTTTAATCGAACTAATTTGGTCATTTTATAAATCCTTACATGGAGAAAAAGATTAATACTCCAATACTCCAATGATTAATGAGGAAATTCAGCCTTCTTTGTCAAAAATTTCGTTGTATTTAAAACAATTTTATAAGAAGCGTTAATAATCAAGAAAACTGATTAGTTCAATTGAGTAAACACAATTGATTAAAGTAAAAGTTAATTTTATGCATAAAACAAAAATACAAAAATATAAAATACAAAATAACAAAAATAACAAAATTTCTCTCTCTTATATTTACGCAGTAAGATGACGCGTTTCCATGATTCTTCCGTGTACGACTTAAGTCCGTGCAATTGTGCAAATGTTTACAATTTTTTTTTACAATCAATTCATTGTCTACGATATATATCACATATTTACATGTTTCATTTCATGCTTATTTTTTAAATCGACCAATTAAAAAAGAGAGAAAATCCTTTTTTTACAATATATTACAAAGAATTAATAAATTGTAAAACAAGAAAAAAACAAAAAACAATATCGGAAACTTTTTAATACTTCTCATACACTTTTTTTTTTTTTTCAAAGAAATATTAGAGACAAAGAATCAAAAAAAAAAAAAACAAAGGTGAGGGTTTTTGCTTTTGTTTTTTTAAAAGTTACAGTTTAAAATTTATAAATAAATAATAAATTTAGAAAGTAACGTTGCTAAATTACATGTAACTAAGGTATTAAAAAAAAAAGGTGATGTATTATCTGACCATTCAACATCATTAAAAGCAATTAATTATGCATTACGTATTAGTGTAACATAATTAAAAATGCTGTATCCTAAATATATGTAATAAATGTTATTGTAACGTTAACGTTTTAATTTTTTGTAACGTAATACTATGTGAATAAACTGGTGAAATTGATTTTCATACAATATTCATAAAAAAAAATTGAATTTTTAAAGAATTTCCTTTCAATGTAAATTTCATTAAATGATGTTTTTATTATTTTTTATTATTATTACTTATTATAACTTCCAATTTCTAAAATTCGATCATAATTTTTACTCGTATTACATTATTAGACAAGGGGTTTAATACAAAGAAAGCTAAAAAAGTCCTTCTTTGTTAAAAATAATTAGAGTATAATGTAGTACAATGTAAATCTTCGTAATTCTTATTATAACAAGAATTAAGTTATTGAATTACAGTAATTGGGAAATAAGATTATTGCCACATGTACACATGGCAATAATGAGATACCGTAAATGAACAACAAACAAATTGACTATAATTAAATCCCAACCCCTTAATAAATAAAAATTCTCGCGTGGAATCAACTTTATTTTTTCTCCCTTTGTTATAATCATTTGTGTTGCATAAATTTTGTGTTTAATATTTATTGTAATCATCATTTCTAAAAATGTCGGACAGATTCATCTAATCATGTATAAGAAATTTTTTACAAAGTCTACAAAGACTTATGAAAAACTATATTTCCGGTTTCACCAGATAATTGATTGGATCTCTTATGCATAATTACTCTTGAACTAAAATTATATAAAGAGTCCTGATTTTGAACTGTTGGAATTTCGTCCAATATTTTGCGCATTTATTAAACAATTATATAGATTTTTTTTTTTTTTTTTTTTCTCTGCGAGCGAAAAAAAAATTTCAAATTAAAATTAAAACGAGTTTTTTTATCAAATATCAAATATATTATAAAAAACATGTCTACATTTACGGTTCAGGAAACACAAACCTCTTCTACTACAACATCATCATCATCATCGAAACTTCGTCAGATAGCTCCTGCTCCAACAGAAAAACCTGAATATGATATTTATCATATCCCAAAAGGATATGAAGTTTATTTAGTATCAAAGAATGGTAATCCAGAAAATTCTCCAAGTTCTTCTGATTCTGGTCCAATTCCACTTTCTCCAACTTGTTCTGTTACTTCTTCCACTTCTTCAAATTCTTCTACTTCTCCTAAATTTATTGCCCCTAAATCAACTTCTGATAATAAAATTACTTCTCAAAGTTCTTGGAGAAAAAGAAAGAATAACGGTCATATTCCACGCCCAAAAAATTGTTTTATGGCATATCGTGAACATATGCAACATAAAGTTTTGGCTGAAAATCCTGGTATGAATAATAAATTAGTATCCGTAATCGCTGCTCAAATGTGGAATAAAGAATCTGATGATGTTAAACAATTTTGGAAAGATCGTGCTCAACAATTAAAATTAGAACATAAGATTAAATATCCTGATTATAAATTTGCTCCTAAAAAGAAATCACAAAAGAATTCTATGAATCCTACTGGTATTAAAACTCCAAAGGTTATCTCAAAGAAATCTCCTCATTCTAATAAACTTATTAATGAAGAATTTAATAGAGGTTTATTATTAAGAAGAGATGATTATAATCAATCTGTCAATTTTCATCCTCCTACTCATAATGAAAATTCCGCTTCCGCTATTTGGGGTCATTGCAGATCAAATTCTGTTGAATCTGTTTGTAGTTGGACTAGTGGTGATTCTCTTCCAAGCACTCCTCCAACTTTTTGTGATCGTTCATCATCTCCTCTTCGTTATGAGTCAAATGATTGGAATAAAATGTATAATGATTTCTCTTCTTTAAATTCAAGTCCTCATTTAACCGCTTCAAATACTGCTGCTGGAATTTATGATACTTTATTACCTCCTCCAATTATTTCTTCCACCGATTATGAAAATTCAATGCATATCGATTCTGGTGATAGTCCTTATTATAATATCACCGAAGAAGAAGATAATTTAGATAATTTGGAATATAGAGAATTTCTTCAACCTGATAACACTCAACTTTTAGATACTTTTGTATTGACCTCCCAGCAACATCATACCGCTATCTACTAAAAAATTGATGTTCATAGAATAGAATCGCTGGACGTTTCTTTAAATGATTTTAATCGTAATGAAATCAACTCGTTGACATTTTGTTGAAACCATTTTTCGCTCATGAAAAAAAAAAAAAAATTGCGCAATATTTTTGGACTTTTTTTTATATAGAAATAATTTAGAAGGAACATTTTAAAAAAAAAACAAGCATTTTCGTAAATAACATTTGTTTATATATTTTGCATCAAACATTCAAAAAAAACCTCTTCATTTACAGAATTCATCATCTTGTAATTAATTCCTTTTTTTTTTAAAACGTGTAATTTCATTCCCATTGTATTTTCTCCTCCCCCCCCTTTCACAACATAGAAGTATATATCATAGACTTGATGAAAAGATGAAAATTTTATGATTTTTATTCTTTTTCATCGCAACCTTTTTTTATCTCATGTTTACATAAATACCATAATGTAAAGTAGCATATTATAGACTTTAAATAGCATTTAGCATACACTCATTTGCAATATATTCATTCATTCATTCACTCATTTACATAGCATTTACATTCTCTTATATATTTTTTTTTGCATTGTTTTATATTTATCATCATTTTTTCATACTTTCATTCTTTTTTTTTTTTCCTTTCAATTTTTTCTTTTTCATTTTACTATATATTATCTATCTTTATATACATAACACACACATTTTACTGTATTTACAACTATTAAGAAAAAAAGATCAACTTACAAAAGATCTAAATTCAAGAAAAAAAAATACATTATGTTTTTCTAAAAAAAAGACTTTTATATTTTATATATAAAATAAACTTTATGGCAATATAAATAAAAATAAATAAAAATATAGTTTCTTTTTTAGGTACTTTATAAATATATAATATTTTTTTTTTTTGTATTTCCTTCAAAGTTTTTTATTTTCTTAATAAATAAAGTATTAGTAAATATTAATAATATCAATAATAATAAATTGCATTTTATATTTTTTTTTAAAAAAAAATTGGGGATTGCTTTTACCGAGTAAATAACCAGGACTTGGTTGATCGATGCCGGTAATTATTCTTTATATATATGTATGACCTTTTTATAATTATTTTTTTTTTAAAACCATATGACAATTTATTATGTATTGGTACGGTACTTAACAGTTTAAAGTATATTTACGAAGACCCAGAAACTTATATATATATATATTAGGTTTAAAATTTTGAATGATTTTACTGTCGTGTCGATGGGAAGTCTCATTAGTTTAAAAATTATTTTTTGGCAATATTACAAATAAATTTGTTTTTATTTTGGGGGAATCATGATCAAAGACTTTACTTATGTTCCGTTATTATCAAGGTTCCGGTATATCGAATTTCACAGTGTACAATGAAAATTGTAGATTTTTTCTAGTATCTAGTAGACTAGTATCATTTAATATTCCATACTGACCGTCAATAAAATAAAATAACCGGAATTTTTATAGGTAAAAAATTTCTTTCTAGTCTTTAGCCAGTTGAAATTTTGATTTCTACTTTTCAGCCTGTTAAAGTCGGGATAATAGTAGTTATTATGAAGTTAATTGTTAAATTGCAAAGATTAGAATAGATAGGAGTATCATATATATTATATTTAATAAATTTTTATTCTATACAGGCCAAAAGCTTAGAGGATATACTGTACTAATAAAATAGTATATCGGAATTGGGGTCTGGAACGGATTATCATAATCTATAATTAATTTACCCTCGAACGGATGGTTCCATTATATCGAATTTCACCGTGTACAAACAGGACCTGGAAAACTTCTAATAGGGGTTACCGCCAAACATGATTCGAGGCTATAATTAATTTTCAAAAAGGTCACCGCCAAATTAATTAGTAAAAGTCACGTGTTGGTTCGCAACAATAAGAATTTTTTTGAAAAAATCTTTCCTTTCTTGGCCCTATTACTATATTTGAAATAGAAAAATGTGAGTAAACAGCAAAACAACCAATCATATTATGGTTCGCACTCCTATTTTTTTTTGATTTTTTGGCGGTAACCTTTATATATAGTTTTCCAGGTCCTGTACAAACCCACCCTAAAAAGCCAGCTAAGCCAGTCCATTTTCATGATTATACAACACGCGTTTTTTATATTTTAAATTGATAATTTATGCTTTTCAACATATTTTATATAAAAAATTCGCATAAAAGTCCAGAACTTTTACTTTATTCTTTGTTTTAATATTACATACTGTACATAAAATGAATAAAGAACAACGTCTTCGTTTATTTGAATGGTATAAACGTAAAAAAGGAACAAAAAACTGTAGTTTTTTTTATACGCGTCTTTCTTCATTGTTAACTTTTTTTTTATTGGAGGAATTTGAATTCTTATCAGTTACCCATCTTGAATTTAGATAATTTATAATATTCTCGAAAAATATCCCGCTGTAAAACAATATTGTTATGTGTATTCGAACCTAAAACGTACGATATAAATATACGGAAGTTTTATATCAAAGATGCTGTTCGTGTAGCTGAGGTAAAAAAAAGAAAAAAGACGATGATATCGATGATATTGAAAACAGTCTTTAATATAATAAAATATTTAAATTAAATTATTAATAAACTTTGTATATAATAATTTTAGAAACGTCAGAAGTAAATTGAAGTAGCGGCAGAATCTTTGTTATTATCAGACTGGGCCAGAATTATTGGCGCGAGCAAATGTTTTACATTTTAGAAGCAGATTGGCCTCCTCATTCAAAAAAAAAAAAAGATTGGAATTTTAGTGGAAAATATCCCACCACGTGAAAAAGCTCGATACTGGATTGAAGAACTAAACTTAATGCACGGGTATAAAATAAATCTATCGAGTATTATCAATATATAAATTGAATTATAAACTTAATTTATAATTCAACAGCCTATGGAACTAGTTAAGGAGGAATGAGAAATTTTTGACGCGATTATGTATGTAATAAATTGACAATGCATTTCTAATATATATATATATATATTTTTCTACAAAAATATCTGAATATAGCGCTTAAAAATTCCTTTTCTTTTCTTTAAGGTTATTATTGTCAAGTAACGAATTGTTAGGAAGTGACCCGTCTGTATCGCTTGAATATGAAAGTGGTATAGACTATAATATAAATGACAATGAATTCAGTGAAGAACGATTGCCAAACAGCGCACTTTCAAAATTTTAGCGCAACTAATTACAGCAATATCCAAAATAAAGGAAACACTTGAAAATTTTGTTGCCGAGAATCTGTCATGCCAGCTTGCCGGCAAATTGAAAAAATAAATAAACACGTGACAAGTTCATTATGTAACATAAACATTTGATTTCGCTGATTTCGCATAACTATACTAACATGTCACATGTTTGTTCCTTTATTTTGGATATTGCTGTAAATCCTTGAAATGCATAGGTGAGTTGGCTTAGATAGTTTGTTTGTTTGTAGATAGGAGAGCTAGTTTTTCTTTTTTACTTTGTAATCAATGGTCTTGTACAGTTGTACTGTTTACTTTATTATTTTCAATAAATTGAAACACAATCTTAGCAATCTCAGCAAAATAAAAAATTCAAACCTTGAGATTTTAACTGTTTAATAATCAAATATTTTTCTTAAACTTATATAATTTGCTAGCCATTTCATTAATTTTGAAGGTAACTTGTAATATAGTAAGATAAAACAAATACTTATAACATCAATTAATAAAAAAAAGTTTACATGGGACTACATTTGCGCAATAATTATGTAATTTATAGGTAACTTATTACCAGGCACTGTAGTTTATTATAATTTATAATGTATCTAAGAGAAATTAAAAAATATATACAATACAATACTTCTAATCATAAAAGTGCATTTGTTACACTTTATGATTTGAATTTAGCGCGTGAAATTATCATAATTTTTATATAAATTACACTTTCATCTATAATGATAGTTGTAAAATACCTAAAATTTCTATTGATTAAAAAAAAATAATCAATAATTAAATATCGCTACAACATTTATTTTCTATTGTTCGTCTTTAATTATTACACCCTCATCTTCTTCACTTTCTTCTATTAATCCTTCGTCGTCATCAGATAATCGAGGAACTTTTTCTTTTATTAACCCTTCCTCCTCTTCCTCCTCTTCCTCCTCGTCACCTCGCTTTCTCTTTTCACCTCTTTGATTTTCATCCGAATCCTCCACAATTTCACCGTCGTCACCGTCATCAGTCGGTACAGGAACATCATCTTGATTCTCATCTTCATATTTTATATCATTCTTCTCATTATCACTCGTTACTACATCCCCATCGTCTAAGTCTTCAGTATCGGCATTTTGCTCATTTTGATTCAGATCTACTCCATCCGATGAACTGTCAATTGTATCGACATCATCAGCATCTGTAACATCATCACGAACCACTTCATTCTCATCTTCATCCGCTTCATCTGCGGCCAATTCTCCAATTTCACCCACATCATCGCCTACTTCGGTTAAATTATCCGAAGTACTAGCAATATCCTGACTTTGTTGTCTTGGAGAATTTTCTTCATTATCTTGTTGTTTATTCTCATCATTATCGTTACTTATTCTGTGGTGGTCGCCTTCGTTATCATTATCTGCTAAATTGCTAGATGATGGGTTGATACCGTTAATACCATTTACTTTTGGAGGATTGTCACCTTCAATAACATGTTCAGCGGGTGAAGAAGGATTAGCGATAGGTGAAAAGAATTCACTTCTCATGGAATCAGGTGTTGTGGGAGCTTCTTCATCGTCAACCACTTGAGGGTTTTGTTCTCTTTCAATTTCTATTTCACTTTGTACTTCTTGTACTACTGTAAGTATACGTTGAAGTTGTATTTTACGGCGATCTAATGTTTCATCTAATAATTTATCCTTTTCTTCTAACGAAATTATCTCTTCATCTAATTTTGAAATCGCACTATAAATAAAAGTAAGTTTTATTAATATTCTTTAAAATGTATAAATGTAGTTCAGTATGTTTACCGACCCACCTTAAAGATTCTTCCCGAGTTTTTTGTTGATTGATCACTGCTGCTAATTGATCATACTCTGCTTTGTTTCTACGTATTTCCTCTTCTTGAGCTAATTCTTTTTCTAAATTCTTGATAACTAGCATGGTATCTTTTATCTCTAACTCTATAAACAGAGAATTGATAATTTGAATTGAATAAAAAATGAAATTATTGAAATTATTATAGGTAGTAATAGTTACCTATTCTTTGAGCTTCTTCATTCCAATGTCGTGTTTCTTGCAAATTCATATCATGAATTGCTTGAAACCTGGTAAGAGTAAGTTCATATGACGAAAAATCGACCATGAAATCATTAAACTGTTGTTGTCTACAAAGATAAAAGATAACTTTTTATTTAAAAAAAAATATATCAAAAGGTATAATTTAAAAAATATACATAAAATAATACATACATATCTTTTATATTTCCTTGTTCCAAGGAATTTATTAAGACAGAATGTTTCTTAGTAACTCGGCGGAGATTTCTTTCTTCGACAGAAAGTCTGTCACGTAGGATTTGTTCTATAAAATAAGAAATCAATCGAAATACTCCAATTTAAAAAACCCTTGAAAACTTGCTAGCGTACCTTCATCCATTTCTCCTTTTTTTTAAGAAAATTTTATTCAGAACCGTAAATAAAACAGATAACTGTACTATGTAATTTGTGGAATTAATGCTTCGCCTTATAAGAATTTGCTTGTTATAGTTAGTTATATAAACTGCTTAATTTTTTTTTCCCCTTCTTAGTCTTGTTGATCAATTCCATTAAGTCTAAAATTGGAAAATGATTTAATTAGCCAACAAAATTACATAAAAAACGGCAAATGAGTATCACATTGATCATAATTGAAAAAATTTTTTTTTTCGCATACAGGAACATTTAAAAAATGCCGTTAGTTTCAACAACCCAACTTATCAAATTGCAATCAAAAGTTGAAAATATAAGGAATATATGTATTTTAGCACACGTTGATCATGGAAAAACTACTCTTTCAGACTCATTATTAGCTTCTAATGGAATTATTTCTACTAAATTAGCTGGAAAAGTGAGATATCTTGATAGTAGAGAGGACGAACAAGAAAGGGGAATAACGATGGAAGCTAGTGGAATATCATTATACTTTAATGTCTTAAGAAAATCTCTGGAAGGACAAGGTTGTTTTTTAATTGGTTTTATAACCCGATATTTAATAAATTCAATATTATTTATTAATGCTTGCAAGATCTAATCATATCTTTGTATGATTTATCTAAAAAAAAAAAAGAAAGTTCTGATGATTATCTGATAAATCTTATTGACGCACCCGGACATGTTGACTTTTCTAGCGAAGTTTCGACAGCATCAAGACTATGTGATGGTGCATTAGTTCTCGTTGATGTTGTTGAAGGAGTTTGTACACAGGTGTGGTATTAGAATTAGGTTGCTTAAACGAAATTTTTTTTTTTTTTTTAAGATTATCAATTCGGAATTTGTAAGAGTATTAATCAAAATCTAATAATAAAAAATAAAAATGAAAATTTAAACAAACAAAAATAATCATATCAACCTTTTTTTTCATTTTAAATGTTAAAAAAGACACACGCAGTGCTCCGACAAGCATGGCTTGAAAATGTTCAACCCGTACTAGTATTAAATAAAATTGACCGACTTATAACTGAATTAAAGTTAACACCTCAGGAAGCATACATTCATTTAAATAAAATACTTGAACAAGTAAATGCTATTATGGGAACCTTTTTTGCTGGTGATATAATGGAAGAAGAAACTAGAAGACATGAAGCTGAAAAGGTTTGAATTTTTTAGTTTTTATATATTTTATATATATATATATTTACAAATAATAATATCACTTTTTATATTATACTTTAATAGGAGAAGCTTCTACAACAAGGAAATGAACAAATAGAGGTGGATAATATATCAGCTGAGTTGTCGTTGGAAGATCGGGATGATTCCAAGATTTATTTTACACCAGATTCGGGAAATGTTGTTTTTGCTAGTGCAATTGATGGTTGGGCATTTAGGTAGGTTTATTATACAAACAATTTATCATTATGTTAACAACCTTCCTCCAAGTCAAAATCATTTGTTTACAGTGATAATCCGATCTGGGTGACAGAGTCGAAAATTTCGTTCAATTTTATGCCGCGAAGCTAGGTATGAAAGAAAATATACTACGTAAAGTACTTTGGGGTGACTATTATCTTGAACCAAAAACGAAGCGACTATTACAACATAAACATTTGAAGGGTCGACAATTAAAACCCTTGTTCGTTCAACTGGTTTTGGAAAATATTTGGTCAATTTATGATTCTATTATTATAAATAAGTAAGTCTTCTTTTTTTTTTTTTTAATAATCTTATTTTTTTTATCTACTTCATTAATAATTAATTCAATTTATATTTTTATTTAAGCAATCGAGAAAAAATCGAAAAAATTGTTAAGACGCTTAACTTGAAAATTTTACCGAGAGATATGAGATCAAAGGATACACGTAATTTGTTAACCACGATATTCACTCAATGGTTACCATTGTCATCAGCTGTATTACATATCCTTTAATTATATTAGAATTTGTTGCATTGTTTAGTATATAAGTTTTTTTTCCCTACATTGAAAATTCTTAACTTATCACACTGACTGTTATAGATCAGCTTCCATCACCCGTTGTTGCTCAGCCTGTGCGCCTTCCGAAAATGTTATATCCGAATACAGATATGCCAGAAAAGCCTGCGAATGAAAACGAAAAAGCTTTATTTAGTTGCGATTTTAGCGATACCGCGCCTATTATTGCTTATGTTTCAAAAATGTTTGCTATTCCTTCAAATATGTTACCGGAGAATAGAAGAAGACAGTTAACTGCAGAAGAATTAAGGGAAAGGGGAAAAGCTCACAGAGAACGTTTACGTGCTTTAAATGGCCAATCTGAAGAATCAGTTTCTGAAACATCGTCAACGACTTCAACCTTAACATCACCTGAATCCTTAGATGAATCCGTTGAAAAAATTAAAGTTTCTTCTCAAACGGATGAAGATGGTGAAGTTGATCAACCTAAAACGACCAAAGAAACTTTCGTAGGCTTTGCTCGTCTATATTCTGGAACTATTCGTGTTGGACAGAAACTTTACGTTTTAGGTCCAAAATATGATCCTACCTTTCCAGATAAATTTTGCTCTGAAATAACAGTTGAAAATCTTTATCTAATGATGGGACGAGAACTAGAGGCTTTAAAAGAAGTGCCTGCCGGTAATGTTTTCGGTATTGGTGGACTTGAAGGTCATATATTGAAAAATGGTACCTTGAGTAGTACTAAAGATTGTAAAAGTCTTGCCGGTGTCTCAATGGAGGTAAAGGAATAAAGTAAAAATTTTTTTTTTATCTTATTAATTAGTTATTGATATTTTATTTGCTTATTATAGTCTGCACCAATTGTTCGAGTCGCCCTTGAACCTGCTGAACCATGTATATATGTTTTCCATATTATGATATCTTTACTACGAAATCATATCACAATTATTTATCCTTTTTTATTATTATTATTATTACAGCTGAAATGGGGAAGCTAACCGAAGGACTTCGCTTGTTAAATCAAGCAGATCCATGTGTTGAAGTCCTTGTGCAAGAAACCGGAGAACATGTGATTTTAACGGCTGGTGAAGTGCATCTTGAGGTTCGTTTTGGAAAGTTAATTGCAACCTTTGATTATTTATTATCAGTCATTTAAATGATTTACAATTAAATTTTTATAAAAAGCGTTGTTTACGAGATTTAAGAGAACGATTTGCAAAAATCGAAATTCAAGTCTCTCCTCCTATAGTTCCGTTTAGAGAAACGATAGTTCCTGTACCAGGTATTTATTTTAAATTTTCATTTATATATAATATTCTTTACTTTATAATTTCTCTATTTGAAATAGATAATCAACAAATCAAGGAAAAGGACAATGCACAACGTGGTTTGGTTACACTTTCTACGACGAATAAATATTGCACTATTAAAGTGAGGGCTGTTCCATTGCCGCAAAATGTTACGACTTTTCTGGGCAAAAATGCTATTACTATAAAATCCATTTTGGATGAACGTCAACAGCGTAATAAAATTGAAACACAGTCTATCGAAGACGAGGAGGATACTTTTAAGGATGTGACTATTAAAGGAAACCGCATATTAGAAGTGGACGAGTTTCTTGATCAATTGGAAGCTGAATTTAATAAAGCTTCTGACAAAGAAATTTGGAAAGATATCGTTGATAAGTTCGTATTAGTTTTATCTTTAATATATATATTTATATATGATTTATTATAATTAATTCTTATTTAATTTAGCATCTGGGCATTTGGACCAAAACGTGTTGGTCCAAACTTATTAATAAATCATGTCCCAAATTATAAACGAAAGTTTTCGTATCCTTTCCTTTATCATTAATTTTACTAAGTCTAACTGAATAAAAATAAAATCCTGAACATAATATTTTTTTTTTTTACAGATGGAGAAAATATCATCAGGAAGTGAATGATGAAGTAAATGAGGAAGTTCTCTCTGAAGATAATTCTTCAAAAAAATATGAATTATCAATTCGTGATTTTGTTGAAGGGATTCACACGGGATTCCAACTTGCCACAAAATCAGGTCCACTTTGCGCTGAACCATTAATGGGAGTTGCATATTTTTTAGAAGATTTCACAATAAATACAAATGACGAAGATGTTGATATATCTGAAAGTTAGTAGGAGATTTCTTTTGGTGATAAGTTTGTTAAATGTATAATTTATAATATATGTTATACGTTCTTCAGTTCGAAGTAAATTAGGTGGACAAATTATAACTACAATGAGAGATGCATGCAATAAGGGATTTTTAGAATGGTCTTCCCGATTAATGTTGGCTATGTACTCTTGTGATGTTCAAGCAACTAGTAAGTATAAAATCGAATATATCTGGTTTAATTATAAGTGAACCTTTATCTTACTATTATTATTTTTTTAAAATAAAATAAAAAAAAATAGCCGACACTTTAGGTCGTGTATATGGTGTAATATCAAGACGTCGAGGACGTATTACTTCCGAAGAATTAAAAGAAGGAACTACATTTTTCCAAATTTTTGCATTACTTCCTGTAGTGGAAAGTTTTGGATTTGCTGATGGTAGGTAATAAGAAGGGGAAATTTTTTTTTTGTATCACATAAATTGATTCGTTTATAATACAGAAATAAGAAAACGGACTTCGGGTGCAGCTAGTCCACAACTAATTTTTAGCGGGTAAATAAATTATGGAAATTTATTTAATTCAACTATTATTACCAATATTAATTGTCTTATTTATGATTTAGATTTGAAATGTTAAATGAAGATCCGTTTTGGGTCCCAACAACTGAAGAAGAACTTGAAGATTTGGGAGAGAAATCTGATAGAGAAAACCTTGCAAAGAGATATATGGAAACTGTAAGAAAACGCAAGGTAAATTATACTTATTTCTTAATAAGAATTACAATTAAAATAATTATTTATAAGATAATCAAAATTCTCATTTAATTTATTAGGGCATGTTCATTGATAAGAAAATAGTTGAGCATGCAGAAAAACAGCGAACTTTAAAAAAGAAGTAACAGTATATTTCAATAGCTATCAAAGAAAAAATAATATTTAACAACGAAACCATATTATTTGGATAAGATCTATTATGTTGAATTATGTAGGATATATTATTGTAATTCTTTTTATGATAGATTATTTATATCTTCTTGTACTCTTTAAAATTATTATTATATTTTTATACCACACTATTTATCCATTTTTTAAATAAAAATATATAACTTTATATTACTTTATATTGTAATAATACTATTTAGAATACAACTAGTAATAATTTTCATGTGACAAAATAAAAGGTTCGGGTCCGATGTTCCGAGCCGATTTCCAGTTAACGCGTCGCAGCATAGCTCAGTGAATTAGTTCGAAACATAATAAACATAATAATAATAAATATGATTAATAATATTTAGAAAAAAGATTTATGGAATTTGTCTTTTTTTAGTATAGATTCACGACTTTTCATGGTTCTGTGTCACTAAAAAGATGCAGTTCAAAAAAAATTTTTTTTAGTTATGGAAAACATGTGAAATTACATGATTGTTAAGTTTTCACATGCAATTATGCTTTTACGGGCTAATTACGTTTCAGATAAAGCCACGAAAGAATAGTCCTAAGCCTAAATAATCAAAACTACTAACAACTTTAGTCAAGTAAGTCAAGTAGTAAATTTTATTGATTTTAAGAAGTTGGTTTGTTTAAGACTCTTAAGTATGATATTATTTCACTTAATTAATCAATATCTGATATATTATATATACTTATACTTGCTTAAGCCTCTATTACTTTATTTTATTTTATTTCAATAATTATAATTTATTAATTTAATTTCTGATTTTGTTTAATAATAGCCTACAATAAGTTCAAATATAAAGAAAAGTAAAACAATTACAAAGTAAAACAATTGGAATTTTATATTAAAATTACAGAATAATTAGTAAAACAATATAATTGGTATGAAGTATAATATTAATATATATAATATAAAGCTTATAAGTTATAAGATAAAAAAGATAATATTATACATTATAAATGGCTATAAATAATAATTATTTTGATTATTTTGTTTAATTAATAAAAAAAATTGAAAATTAAATTAAATTTAGTTTAATTGTAAAATAAATTAAAATTAAAGATTATTATTAAAAATTAAATAATAAATTAATAATTAAAAATCTTTTGATATGAATTTGGTTAAAACCAGTTAATTCTATAATAAAAAAAATTATAAAATATTTTTCTTTTTAAAGAAGAAAAAAGATATATAAGATATATGTAAAAATTTTATAATTTTAATATATCAAGTTTTATTTGGATAAATTAATTTACAAATCCGATCATAATTTATCCAAAATAGGCCATTGAAATGATAATCTCTCAAAAAAAAAAAAATAGATTTTTTTTCAACTTATATATTCAATAGTTTTTTTTTAATATTTATAAATCCAAATAAGTTTAAATTAAATAAATAATAAATAAACAATATTAGAAAAAAAAAATAATTAAAATTCCATATTTGTTTCTAGTAATCGAAAAAAAAGCATTTACTAAAAAAAAAAAACCGTTTAAAAAAGTAAATTTTACAAAATATTATCAAGATAATGATTGAAATTAAACGGTTATTATGAAAAAAGTTTAAAAAATTGTTTTTTAACCGTAAGCCTCTTATTGATTGCGCAGGTAGTAAAATATTGACCAATATTCTGAGAGTGATTGACCATTTTGGTAATGGGCGCAGTTTTTTAGTGTTACTCTGATTGTTCATAGATAATAGTTGTGCATTTTCAAAGAAAACAAAAATATCAAACCAAAACAAACGTTTTACCTGGGAGATTCTTGAGATTATTTTTGTTCTGCTCGCTCAAGTAGTTTTTTGATATTTATAAGTGTATTTTACCAAGTAAAAGGTGTGAAATTTACATAAAATTAAATTAGTTAGTTCTTTATTTATCGTTTGACTTGTTATTAATCGAAAAAAAAAATTTTCTTCTTGCCACTATTTAGTATTCTTAACTTTAAAATACATTCTAATATAGGTAAACAATTTTTTTTTTGTTTATTTTGTTTAATATTTCTATTTCATATTTCAACTTCAAGTTAAGAGATCATAATATAACTTAATAGCTGATATTTATTTTAAAATAACTTCATAACTTCAAGATCTAATATGTCTTTAATGGTATGTTTTATTGAATAGTGTTGACAAGCGTGAACTTTCATACTTTATATTATTTGTTTTTATATTCTTTCGTGTTTTATCTATTTGCTGAAAAAACTATCTTTCTTTTTGAAAAATTCATATTTAACTTAAATGTAAACATAATAAAGGACGAAAGAAATCGATCCACAGCCATGGATTGGTCGCCGGCTAAATCCGAATCTTCCTTACCTTCACCTGTAAGGTCACGTTCTCGATCCGGTTCGCCCTCACCTCCCCCTCCCAAAACGATTACGATCAATTTATTCCCGCTTACTGATTCAATAGAATTTGCACCTAAACACTTAAGCTTCAGTCCCGATCAAGAAATTAAGGTCGGTAGGGTAAGCGGAAGCCGTAATCAAAAAGAAGCTAAAGCGGATAATGGAGTGTTCAGCTGTGATGTTATGTCACGAGAACACGCCTTGTTAAAAGAAGAGAACGGGAAGGTAATTGCAAATATAATTGAAATTTCAATCTCTTATTTACTCATAAACATAATATATATATATATATAAAAAATAATTTGTGAATTTATAGATTCTAATTAAAGATTTGAAAAGTACGCATGGTACTTTTGTTAATAATGTAAGATTAGGTGATGGTACAGTAGAAAGTGATTGGCGTGTTTTAAACCATAGAGATATTATTACATTTGGGCACAGTGTAAGACGAAATCAAAGTAAGTCATACACTTATTGTCTTTCTTAATATTATTTATAGATATATTTATATATTATTTTAAACATCATTAATTATTAATGTCCTGTAGACTTATATAAACATTTGTCAGCATATATTTTTTATCCGAAGGAGACAAAAGGAGAAATTCACTCACCGAACACGTCTAATGGGAATACACCGGTCGCAATCTCCATATCAAATGTACAAACAGTCAAAACGGAGCAAATTTCACAGAACGCTTCATCATCACAGGAAGCCACCTCGTTAAAGGATGACGAAACTCCTAAAAATTTAATGCTGCAGAGGTATTAAATAATAATGTCAAAAACATTTCTTAGTTATAATATCATGATACGTTATTTCATTAATCCTTATTTTGCGTTAATAGTAGAAACGAAGGCCCTGCATCTTATTATATTGCAAAATCCGGTGGTTTGCCGTCAACTACACCTAATGCGACTAATCCCCTTAGTAGTAAATTCGATGAATTCTCCGTTATTAAGTCACATACAACAGATAACGTTACACAGGCTAGTGAAGGTAAGGGAAATGAGGGGATCTTATCATCATATTTATCATATCAGTTAACGTCGATTATGGTTATACTTTTTTATTTAACTTGGCAACCTCCAGCACTTATTGATGATTCAAAGCAAGACAGTCCTTCTAAAACAAGTGAAGAGATGTCTACATCGATTCAAAAATTGAAGATCGATCAGTCCGATGAAAAGCTTCATATAGAAGCAGAAATTAAAGAACTACCAACGAGTTCTAGCTTCCGAGAGGACAATGATGATATTCCTATGGAAAATGCAGAAAATGATGAGATAGTTAAGGATTCAAATAATGATGAGAATGATGATATGAATGTTCATGAATCAGTATATCCTGAAATTGTACCCGATACTAATCCGGTAGTCACAGAAGAAGAAGAAGAAGCAGTAATTCAAACTTCAACTGTTAGTAAGACAACTGCTTCATTTGTTGCGCCCGCGCCAATTAAGGACAGGACATCTACACGAGAAACACGAGAGATAAAACAACCTAGAACTCCTCGTAGAGAAAAAGAGGGTAATTCTGATAAAGTTGAAAATGAAAATTTAGTTGTTAGTAACGGTGAAGGTCCTTCACATGCGACAGAGTATGAACCTTCAACCACAATTACTTCACGCAAGCGTAAATATGAAGAAATAGATGAAGAAGAAGATGGGCCAGAGAAAGTAAATGATCTTAGAGAAAAGTTAGCGGAATTAGAAGAACGCGCTAAACGTGCTAATAAACGTAGAAAATGGGATATGGTATATTCTACTGTGCTTGGTATGGCTGCAGGGGCTGTCGGAATTGGAGCTTGTGCTTATCTATTTGCTGGGGTTTAAGATTTGAACAAGAAGGTATGATGAAAAAATAATTTTTTAAGGTGTCTAGTCTATCTTTGATTCACATATTCCAAATTTTGTGGTCTTTACTTGTATTTCATCTTGCATTTTCTTGAATCCAAAAATTCTTTCCTTTTTTTCTTTTCCCATTTCCCATATATATTATATATATATCTCTTGGATGTTTTTTTTTGTTTTCTGACTTTTAAGTGTGTACATATGTAAGCGGTTGTTATATAAATCATAAATTTTTACTGTAGAATTTTTAATTGGAGCATTAAAGGTTATTATAATAATGAGGATTGATTTATTTACATGGATTAAATTTGACACTTTAATATACAAATTTACAAATTATTTTAGTAAGTCACGTAAATCTTTCTCTTTGATTTTTGATTTTTCCAAGAATTATTTTGTTTGAAAAAAAACAACTTTTAAGTCATAAGCTTGAACCTAATAATAGTTTTAGATGTTAAATCGTTGTGGATAAAGTATACCAGTATTTAATAAGATAGAGGGAGGTAGGTAATTTTTAATATCATTAACTTTAATAAACCCTTATTTGGATAAATTAAAATATTGACGACTTGAATTAAGATTATCGTTATCTTCAAAATTTTTTCCATAAATTTATGCTGTCGTACATTAAATCTATAAAAGTCGAAATTTCGTAACACACATGGCCCAAAACTAAAATATGGGTCAATTTCTAATTCCCGTGATTCAAATACCATGTGATAATTTTTGTGTGATGTGGGTGGACTTCTAAACTTGGGAATAAAGAAATAAAGAACTACATTACAATATTATTCTCTTGGAGATAAAAAATTTCGCAATAAGCTTAACCCACTGGGCATTTTATTTATTTATTACTTATCTTGACCACCAGCATATTATTTTTCAGTTTCTATTATTACAAATATAAACTCTGGAAGTTTATTAAAAAAAAAAAATGCTGGGCCCTCTCTTACTTTTTCTTTTTATTCTATTACTTCGTAAGTAATTCGATTGATTTTTACTAGTATTACATTATTATTTATATTACTATTTTATATTAATTTAGTCTCTTGATATTGCAGTCGTTTGTTATTATCGACAAACTATACTTTCATATTTCCCTAGTGTAAATCGTCGGTATCAACGATTACCTGCAGTATTTTCTTCAAATTCATTTCATAACGATATAGAGAATGGTTTAACTTCGGAAACTTTTGATCTTGAACAAAATATAATTGATGGTGATTCAAGACCTGGATTAGAAGATTCCGAAGAAATTAAAAGGATAATGAAAACTGATAATGTTACTTTTGATCAAGCGAGACTAATTAGACAACAGAGAAAATTTAAAACTAATAATATTGATCCACAAACTGGTTTACCAAAAGATCCAAAATTAGTTACTTTTTCATAATAAGCATATATATAATCAAGATTATAATTAACATTATGATTATTATCTATTAGCTTTTTAAAGTGTAAATATAATCAAAATATTATGAACAACAAATTCTACAAATAAACGTATGAAAGAACTGTAATTACGCAACAATTATTTTTCGAATAAGTTATATTTTATATTTTATGATTTTAACCAATAAAAAATGAAATTTAATATAATATTACAAACAAATCGCAATCAAGTTTCTCTTGAATGCTAATATTGAATAAAATTATTTATTGCTTTTTTAATTATTGAGGTAGATACGAAAAATTTACAAATAAAAAAAATAATTAGAACGTTGCTAACATGCAATTATTATTCAAAAAAGACAAAAGAGAAACGGGGAAAATGATTAAAAAGTATAAACACAATATTCATTAACATCCTTCGTTTACCACCAAGTTTCTTCAACCAAATTGCTAGATTTATTATTACCATCGTTTGATTGTGTTCTACTAGAATTCGTATAACTAGGTCCTCTTTCTTCTCTTGGCTCATTGGCACGACTTCTCCTATTCTCATGATTTTCAGATGCAGGTGTTCTCTCTCTTTGTTCATTGCCACGACCTCTCCTATTCTCATAATTTTCAGATGCAGGTGGCCTATCTCTTTGTTCATAACGTTCATAACCACGACCACGTCTATTTTCATAATTTTCAGACGCCGGTCTCTCTCTTTGTTCATAACCACGTCCTCTCCTATTATCATAATTTTCAGATGTCAGTGTCCTTTCTCGTTGCTCATTGCCACGACCTCGCCCATTTTCATAACCTTCAGGTGCTGATGTTATGTTCTCTTTAGGTTTTTCCCATCCTAAATCTGCAGCTGTCATATTTCCCCATTGCTTTTGTGTTTGTGAAACGATATTTCCTGTTACAGGTTTGGAATCCCAACTATCACTTTCGACTTCGATTTTAACTGGTTGATCTTTAACATTATCATCATCACGAGAAATGTTATCGGCTTTAAACTTATTCCATGGATTATCTTTGGGATTATTATTGTTGTTACTGTCTTTGTTCCATGAGTTATCTTGATTATAATCACCATGAGAAGAGTTACCGCCTTTAGACCTATAATTATCTTGAGAGTAATTATCACTTCTGGTCTTGTTTTCTTGATTATAATCACCGCGAGAAGAGTTATCGACTCTAGGCTTAAAATTATCTTGAGGGTAACTATCGGTTCTGTTCTTGTTCAATGTATTATTATCTTGATTATAATCACCGCGAGAAGAGTTATCGCCCCTATGCTTGTAATTATCTTGAGGGTAACTATCGGTTCTGTTCTTGTTCCATGTATTATTATCTTGATTATAATCACCGCGAGAAGAGTTATCGCCTCTAGACTTATTCCATGAATTACCTTGAGAGTAGTTATCATTTCTGTTCTTATTCCATGTGTTATCACCGCTTTTATCTTGACTATTCCAAGTTGCAGTTCTGTCGTTATTCCGCGAGGAAGAATCTCTTTGCCAGCCACCACTGCTATTGTAGTTTCCTCTATCATAATCTCCACCGCTGCTACTAGAACAATCTTTTGAAATATGGCCTTCCTCACCACATTTATTGCACTTTCGTCCTAATGTAAAATTACAAAGTTAAGCGTTAAATGTTTTTATGCATGAAGATAAAGTAATTCTTACCACCGCTGCTTCGTCTCGGATCTGGGCATTCGCGTGCTGTCGTTAAATTAACAATTTTATTTTTTTTACTTAAAACATAATACTATACAATAAATTGTTGTGTATAAAAAAAAAAAATTTCTTACACGTATGTCCTTCACGGTTACAATTAAAACTAAAATGATAAATATTTAATTGGTTAAATTGAATCGAACTTATCCAAATCAAATTCAAAATGATTTTATTTACCAAGTTATATTACTATTGCCACCATATCCTCGATGACCTTTGCGATCCTCCTCACCACCGTAACCAGAAGAAGCTGAGTAAAAAAAAAAAATGATGATATTAAATAAACCGGTTTTCTTCTTTTATTTAAAGAAAAAAATTCTTTATCAAAATACCTCTATCTTCATTTGTAGAATGTTCCATTGAACCGCCTTTATGACTATAAAAATTTCAAACAATTTAATATTTAGAAATAATATTAAATTCGCGGAATATCAACTTATATGATATTACCTTCCCGCAGCTTTACGGTCACGAGCTAAACAAACCAATATAAATATTAATAAGAGAAGCAATAAAGAATTTTTTTCGAAGTTCTGAAAATTTACCTTCTGCATAATAATCGCGTCGTTCTTCTGGGCAAAATCTAAGGAAAGTAAATAATAATTCGATTAGTCAGTAACTATATATAAATTTGAACATACATTATATAATCAAAATTACTTTGTTATGTGTTCAGATGAACTGCAATTTTGACACATCAAATACGGAAGCTTTTCAACCTCTCTCCTTGGTTCTGTACAATCTCTAATAAAAAGAAATTATTAATATGCAAATTTATAGCCGTTTCAATTAAAGAGGACAAACATTTAAATACTTTGTTATATGGCCTTTCCGTTTGCAGTTAAAACAAACCGGTGAACGATCATCTACCATAAAACCTGAATCAGCTAACCATTGTAAATTCTCCTCTGGACCATTAGCACGATTTCCGGATGTACGAGGGAGACGGGTAGGGTGAACCAAAGTAGGTGTAGCAACATATCTCTTGTTAGTATTTCCCTGTAGGTCCACTAAAACCTTAGTTAACGGTATTTCCGGGCGTTCCTGCATAAAATATAATTGTTATTGATAACCTCAATAATCAACAATTAACGTAACACTACAAAACAATAAGAAATATAAACTCACAAATGAAATAATTCTGCCCTTAGAATTCGCAGATCTTAGTTTTTTCTCAATTGTCACAAATGTTTCTTCCGGAGTAACTTTTGCATATGATTCAAGTGCTTCTTTGAAATCATCAGTATCATTTTCATCAGCAGCCTTAAGTAATTTATCCCACGCTTCTTGGGATGTGATATTTGGGCGTTCAGGATTAGAAACTACGAATTTATAAGATAAAAAAAATTTAATAAAAAATAAAATAACAATAGCAAAACAGAAAACGTACATGGACTAGGTTTGTTCGTATGAGATCGCGATGGACCACTGTTATTAAATTCCCTTGATCCACCACCATATCCACCATCTTCTCTTGTAGTTTCATACGCATCTTCCTTACATTCACGAGCAAAATGTCCTTCTTTACCACACTTACGGCAAGATTTTCCGCCACCATATCCGCCACCTTCTTCTGTACAATCACGAATAAAATGTCCTTCTTTACCACACTTATGGCAAGGTTTTCCGCCACCATATCCGCCACCTTCTTCTGTACAATCACGAACAAAATGTCCTTCTTTACCACACTTATGGCAAGGTTTTCCGCCACCATATCCGCCACCGGAATATCCGCTATAACTATCTTTACCGTTCTCTTCTGTACAATCACGAATAAAATGTCCTTCTTTACCACACTTATGGCAAGATTTTCTGCCACTGCTACCCTGTTTCTTAGGACAATCACGAACTAAATGACCTAATAGATGAAAATTTGAAAAGGGTCAGAATACTAATTGAATGAAATAATTAATAGTGATATAATTTTAGAATGTAAGACCTTCTTGCCCGCAGTTATGACAGCCACGGCTACCATAACGGTTATTCGAGGAGGAATTATCATAATAGGAGTCGCTTGCGCCTGTACCATATGAATCTTCGACTTTTTGTCCCGTATTATTCACCCATGTTTTAATTTCATTTTTTTCACCTAATTCCTTTGAGTACATCTCAGCTTTTTTAGTCCAATCGGATTCCGGTGGTCCTGATGCTGATGGTTGTTGAGGGCCGGAACCCCAACTATTATCTTGGGAAGGCTGAGAAATAGTATTCCAACTAGGTAAAGGTTTGAATGCGGGACCCCGATCATTTTGTGCGGATGTTTGTGGTGCAGAATCCCAACTATCAGGTTCAACAGGTATTGGTTTAGGAACAGTACCTCGATTATCATTTCGCGTAGACGTTTGTGGTGCAGAATTCCAACTATCAGACTCTACAGGTATTGGCTTAGGAACAGGTCCTCGATTATCATTTCGCGTGGATGTAGAATCCCAACTATCAGGCTCAACAGGTATTGGTTGAGGAACAGGTACCCGATTATCATTTCGCGTAGGCGCTTGTGGTGGTTGTGGTGCGGAATCCCAGCTATCAGGCTCAACAGGTATTGGTTTAGGGACAGTACCCCGATTATCAGTTCGAGGAGTAGAATCCCAACTATCAGGTTCTACAGATATTGGTTGAGGGATAGCACCTCGATTATCATTTCGTGTGGATGTTTGTGGTGAATCCCAACTATCAGGCTCAACAGGTATTGGTTGAGGGATAACACCTCGATTATCATTTCGTGTAGATGTTTGTGGTGAATCCCAACTATCAGGCTCAACTGGTATTGGTTGAGGAACAGGTCCACGATTATCATTACGTGCGGAGGTTCTTTGAGTAGTATTCCAACTATTTACTTCACCGCGTGAACTAGAATCAGACCTAGTGTGTGGTATAGCCGCCGTGCCTTCACGAAAATTAGGATTGCCGGACGATGTATTCCAAAAATTCGAAACTTTTGTATTCAATTCTTCGGGATCCACATCCAACAATGACGGTTGTTGTGGAGGGTATTTCTTTTCAGATACACTATTAGTAGTTGATCTAGATAGATCCTGACTTGTCTGCTGATATCCTTTTTTAATTTGTGAACTGATCGTACAAGATAATAATTTTTCATTTGATGCACTGATAGCAGCTAAATCAATTGGTTCAGTTTGAACTGCTGCATTACGGAACTCCTTGCGTAATTCTTGAAATGTGGAAATTGATGATGTTATTAATGGTTCGACATGACTTTTAACATTATACATATCTATTTATTTAATATATTGTATATTGTATATATTAACATCATAATATAATATTATTCATTATCAAGGTCAAGGTGAAAGTTAAAATTACCTGACGTACTATTATATTGTATTTCATCATCAAAGGGTGTGATTGGTTTACCTAGTTGTGGTTTACTCGAAGTTGGAAAACTCCGATAACTAGGGTCATAATCATCTTCATCAAGTACAATATTCTGCCTTTCATTATAAGATTCAAATGATTGTTCGATACCAACCTGCATTGCAAGACTCTTTTTAAGATAAATTATAATAAAGATTTAACCTATCTATACTAATTTATTACAAGAGTAAAATATTTGAAACGGATATACTTACATCCAATTTCTCCTCGTCATTCTCACGTTTAACATTATTATATGATGTTGTTGATATTGGAGGTTCTTCATTCCTTTTCCAAGATGATTGATCAACTTGAACATTTTCATTCCTCATAACCCACGAATTTTCTGATTTGTTTGGTCCCCATGAACCTTGAGCGGCTTTTCTGGCGCTCAAATTATTTTCAGAGGGAGAGGAAGCTGATGGTCTTTCAGTACCCCAATTTCCAGCAGACGGTGGTCTTTCCCAGTTTTCCGACCGTATATTATTTGGCTTACTCACGGAGCTTTCCCACGAAGTATCCGGGAGAAAGTTTGGTTGCTGGACTTTACCCCAATTTTCGGACATGACTACTGAATAAAAAAAAAATTATTCTTCTTTTATAAAATATATTTACTAATAATAAAATAGAAAAAGATAATCAGTTTAAAACTTGTCAACACTTTTTTTTTTATAAACAGGTTTTTTTGATTTTTTTTTTCGTTTTAAAGATTTGGAATTTTTCAAATTTTTTTTTTTTTTTAAATCTTTTCGATTTTTTATTTCTTCATTTATCAAAAGATAANCTGAAATTATTATTTTTTTTTTTTTATTATTTTCTTTTGTTAACGAAATAAGAAAAAAAAATTGTAAGTTGTCAACTTAAATTATTCTTGAGAAGAGTTCTTTAACTTTATTTATTTATTAAAAAAGAAAAAAGCTTTTATGTGAAAGATTGAGTAAGCCACTTGAAAAAAGTTAAGATCAATTCTTATATAGGGTTTTTTATATTCATTGGTATAAATAGGTACCACGTTCAAATTCTAATTATTAATTAAATTAACAATGCCCAATAAATCAAAAGGCAACTCGGGCAGTAAAAAATTACCTGTTTTTTACCGTGAAATTGGTAATGCTTAGTAGATAACGAAAATCAAAAATGATCATATGACTGTGGAAAAGGGGTTTTTTTATTTAACGTTATAAATAAAATAAATAAGATTAATGAAATCGTGACTTTTTAAATGCAATTACACCATACAAGAAAAACAAGTGTCCTAATTTACGAAAGATACACACGATACACACGGACTTTCACTAGATTAACTTTAGAGTTTATACATAATCTCAAAGTTGAGATCTTCTGTCCAATCATAAACGAAGTACGTTTGAAATCATCAAGATTTTCTCCCGGATGAAAATATTTCCATAAAGGGGAATTAAACAATCACCGAAAACACTGCGCCTTTTTACATCGGTGATTCACTAATTACGATGAGAAGCACGCTAGAACTGAAGACCATTAAACTAACCCAAATGAAAAATTTTCTTGAATTAGTACTAATTTCATCATTCATCGTTCCTCCGTTTTTCTTTGCAAACCAATCAAATCTTTTTCCGATGTAATTCCATTCCTTTCTTTCAATATGTCCCATCAATCTACCGAATTCATTTGTCATACGAATCATTGAAGATTCGAATATGGCTAAGATATAACGATAACCACGAATTGTGGGTACGCGTTTGAAAGGTTGTATAATTAAGTGTAAATGAATATCAAAAATAAAATTGGAGATAATTACATGTGGTACTGATAAAAATATCAAAATTGTAAAAATATTAATAATCTCTATGTCATAAAATACTGTAATAAGCGAAGAAATTATCACAGTGATAAATAATATAAATGTTGTCCCCAATAAGAATTCTGCACTATTCGGTACAATATCATTATAAGTTAAATTTGGATGCATCTTAATCAAGGCACCATCTCCTTTCGCCCATTTATAAAATCTCCAATAATATCTCTTACCATCATTCCACCAATGATGAGTTACTTTAACATTTGGCGCTCCTTGAAATCCTTTTCCATTTTCTACATTTTTAATAAAAAAATTTCCTTTTTTCAAGCAAAAATCGATGTCTTCTCCTCCACCGGTCTTTGGAAAACTTGAATCAAAAAGTATATCATCTTTATAACTCCTAATAAGTAAATTACCAGCTATCCCCCAAGGTATATCATTATCCCAAATTTCTGCAATCTCCCAAAAAAAAGTGACTCCGGATAAGACTACCGCACTTTTAAAAATGCTTTCATTTGCTGGTGGAAATTTTGAGCTTCCGATAAATCCACAAGCAGTAGGATGCTCTTTAATAACTTTCTCACATTCAAACAAGATATCTTTTTCGGGAGTCACATCATCATCCAAGAATAAAATATAATCAGCATTAGATTCGTATAATCCACGATTACGTGACAAACTAGCTCCCAAGTTGGGTTTGTTCACTAGAATTCTGATAAAAGGATCTTTTTCATACAATTTTTTTAAAAGTATAATATTGGATGAATTTGGATCATCTATTATTATATAAATAATTGTAGACATTGTAACAGGTATCTCGAGATTAATAATTGGGTCAAGATATTTAAAATCAACTCTATAACTGGGTACAACAATATCAAGGGTAAGCAACTTTTGTATAGGAGTCTTGTTATTATTATTCAACCATTTTTCAACTCTATCTACTGAATTATTTAAAACGTCAAACTTCCAATCTGAATGATACCATTTTTCATATCTTTGATCTACATCAATTTTTTGAATTTCAACATCATGTAATATTATTGAACATCCCCATCGTCTATATAATTGAAATAAATAAGTGTAAACATCTTGAATTTGAAATTTTTGTTGCGGAATAATGTCTCCATTAAATGTATCCAAATGTACGCGACTAATCACTGGAAACGCTGGAAACCCGGGAAATGTAATATCAGTAAAAGTTACACATCCAAAATTACATGGAACTTTCTTTTGAATTGAAATTTCAAGATAAGTTTTATGAAATTTGTTCATCCATCCATTAGTTTTGATGATTATGTCATTTTCAAATAGAACAATATAATCACAATTTTCTTTGTATGCTTTACGAGATAATTCTCTCCAGATATCACATGTAGAACCGGGAAAATAGTCGAATTTTGTTATATCAATATCTATAAATCCATGGTTGTAAAATATTTTTTCTGCGGAATTGTTTAGGAAGAGATGACCATCCTTATCTATTCCAATGTAAATTTTAATTTGATATCTCGTACCGCTAATTCTATACTGAATATCTTGTTGAGAAGTCTCGGCAAGACTTTTTAAAAGGTTTGAAAAGTTCTCGATGCATTTTTCAGGTTTAGTTAACTCTCGAGAAGTTATCGGCAAAAGCACTCCAAACGTTACAATCTCATTGTGATGAGTCAACTCATTTATTTTACTCTCAAAATACGACTCACTACATCCAATTGGATATTTATGATGATGTGTCTCAAGTTCTTGTTGAATACACAAAGAAGTCTTTTTCATATCATCGCGAATAAACAATTCTGGAGAACAATTAAAATGGTTCTTAATCAAAGTTTTTTCAAAACTTCCATCATGCTTCAAAGTTGCCATATTCTAATTGTTTCAAATGCAATATAAGTGACGTTAATTCTTCTGAGCCAATGTTTAATGTAAGACTTAAATCACTTTCAATGAATTTATTTATTGCCTCAAAATAATCCTTTCTATACAAGGAATTACTTCTTTGTTTTCCATTGTCTTGAATTTCAATCGTATTTTCTTGTGTATTTCTATCCAAACAAATAATTTTTCCTAATGAATTCGGCCGAAACTAACTTTCTTCCGAAATACCAAATATAGTACTGTACATATAACCTTCATCGTAAACATTATGTAATCTTGCAATTTCGAATCGCGGTAATTTCCGAATAGTTTTTGTTATTTTGTGATAAATTAGGTGATACTACTAAACTAGATATATATATGTTTCAGTACTTGAATTTTTTACGTCATAAATCTCTTGAACTATTCCTTTCAATTTCAGATTTTCGCTATCATGCTCATTAAAAGGATAAACGCAAATGGATACCCATTTATGTCATTTTTAACAAATAGTTTGTTACAGGTTTCAGATACCGAGATATATGTACCCGTTTTATCACATTCTTTTCCTAAGATGATGATTTATTTATTTACAATAAAATAAATAATAATAAAATAATAAAAGACATTTTGCATTGTAAAAAAAATCAAAAAAATAAACATACGGTAAAACAATTTCCTTTGTTAAAATGAAATAAAACATACTCATCAGAATTATTTGCCTTGAAACCTTTATTAGTATAACAATTTCAGTAGTACCGGTAACGGGGAAGCGTTTATCAATTAGATATCAATATCACAAAATGGTTTTGTTTCCAAATTTAGTAATACTACTTATAGAGATTAATAAAGCTGATCATATCTGATCATAAATGACAATAACTAATTGTGTTACATACGACAATAGCAATAACGCCTTCTTAGATTAATCTTTTAATCTTTTTCTGATTTTTGATACGAAATTTTTCTGTTATCGCCATTTTTTACCGTTATGCTTTGTTTCTCACATGTATTGTCCCTCCATAAAATTATAAAGTTCTTAGACTTATTAAGTAAAGAATTTCAAGTTTCTAGTAGTATTAAAATTTTTAAAAACGTTCCCTATACTTTTTTTTAAAAGAAAAAAAAATCATACAATCTATCATCTATAAACAAAATTTCGACATTTGGGAAGAAATGACAACAAATATGCTAAATATTACCTCACCGCACAGCAACTGGTTCGACTCGGTAACAATACATCCGGCCTAATCCGGAGCTACAACTGATTCGGGTAATTTTTTTGATAATCTATCTAAACTCGATTTTAGAACACATGTTCTAAATTCGAAAAAAAAGTTTGATAAGGTGGATTGCAATTTCTTAAAATTTTCACAAAAAAAAAATTATTAATTTAATTATTTAACTTGTTTTTATTCTTGAAATTTGTATTTCATTTTTTTTTTTTAAAGTAAAACCCCCTTCCGTAATAGATAATCATTTTCGTTTGTACTATATTAAATACATAATTTTTATTTATTTTTTATTTTAAAAACACAAATGTATATTGTGAGTATATAGTTGTAAACTATGTTGATCAATGGCGCAATAACGTATTTGTTAACCTTCTCCGTCGTAAACCGTAAATCTTTTTTTCATTAGAAATTTCACTTTTTTCGCTCAATAACTATACTATTCGTGTTACAATTTTCTAGGGCTTCTAGAGAAACTTATTGTATTGTAAGAAAATATGAAAAAAAATCTCATTGTAATGCTGCTTGTACATGTTCAATTATCTAATATATCGATAGTGTTTATAAAGAACAATCTAATGAAATCTATATTATAAATATACAATAGAATAATTGGAATAAAAAAGCTCGGATGATTAGTAACGGCGTATTCGTTGGAGCAACAGAAAAAAGTACGGATGGCAAAAAAAATAAGGTAAATCAACTCATATTAATTTATTTGAATGAATTATTAGGGGATAGAATATCGTCCACAAATTTCCGGATGAAAACGTATTTCACGTGCATAATAATGAAATGCCGGATTTATTAGTAATAGATAGGTATCCGCAGCAAATATAATTTAATCCAAGTTATATGTTCCGAATGTATGTTATTGTACATTTTATATATACGAATATTGTTGATAATAATTTCTTTCGAATTCGGTTATCATATATTATTGGCAATATATATAAGGACAAAAGATGTCGTGATACGATGCTGGCAAAAAAGATGATGGTCAAGCCATTGCGAATTTTTCTCTTGGAAATCGTCATATAACCTGTTGAGATCTATCAGCAATTTCCTTTAAGCTCTGAGAATCAATTAGTGAAGTTATTTTAATCCTTTAAACAACATGATATCATTCCTGTGGCTATTACGGGATTCAGAATTTGTCACAACATACAAAGCTAAAAATTGTACTATAGAGAAAATCATATGAAATCAATTATCACTAGAGCAGATTAGGAAAGTTTTATATGTAATGATTTCAAGTATTGTACGAATCGAATTTCGTCCTTGTTACATCATGAGAAAAATTTCATTATATCAATGAATAATATAAACTTTTGAATGTACTGTATATATCAATCATGCTCATATAATCTTGAATACGCAGCTATCGTACAGCTGATCGACGTATTATTTAATTATTCCAAATTAAGTCAAGTTAAATACATAAAAGGATAAATTAAAAACTGCGGTCAATTTCTTCGAAACTGAAATGAAAAAAAAATTAGTGAATTATTTTCCATCATCATAAGCAGCAGCCAATGGCACCTCTAGAAACTAAATCATTACATTACTCAAATAACTTCCACTAAAGTTTCAATGGCCCCAGCATATTTTTCACCAATTTCCATCACTCTACCAAAATAAAAGGGAAATTTAAAACACCACCAGCTAGAACCAAAATTTTTGGATTAAATGTGCAAAGAATGTGAGATACGAGAATACAAAGCACTGTGGCCTAATTCAATACAACTTTAAGGAGTTTCTTATCAATTTCAACATCATTATTTTCATTTGAAGAAGGTATTGAAATAACTTTTATTGGAGAAGAATATTTGGAAAGACGTTGAATTGCTTCTTCTATACCAATACCAATTACTTGAGTGATAATACGAACTAGTGACCTACCACCTGCTAATTCATCAACCATCATTGTTTGTGATGAAAGTGTTGGATCATTAATTTATTGGTGTAAGATTCTACATGTGAAATGCAATGTTGAAACATTGGAGAAATACCCAAATTTCCTGCTAGATTTACATGACCTTTAAGAATTTGTCCATTGCACAAGAAAGCTGTTTCAATTCCAGTTCCTTAATGAAATTTAAAGAACAAAAAAAAAAATATATTATTAAGTTTAAAATATAATTTTTTTTTATGATAAATTACCCTAACAATGAAAGACAAGTTTTTAACATCAGGCCATTCTCTTCTAACATGTTCCAATTCAGCAATAGCATCATTAAAAGTAAGGAATCTCACATGTTGACCAAATTTATTTTTTAAATGTTCAATAGGACTCCAACCTTGTAGTATCTCAATCTCACATAAAGTGATGATACCCTCTTTACTAATTAAACCACAAATTGCAATACCAATTGATACAATCTTATAATTATTATTATAAGTATAATCAAGTTTAGAAATAAATTCATCAAGTACTTTATCAAAATCAAATGATTCTACTGAAAATGATGGACCAGTTAATGTTTTGTATCCATGACCAGTGTTACTAGAAGCTAAATCAGAATCGGAATTAATGAGTCTAGTAATGAAGAAACTGTGGTGGCAATATATGCGAATTTTGTACTAATCCTAAGCAAATTTCTTGTGGAGAAGACATTTTTTCTTAGAGAAAAAAAACTTTTTTTTTTAATATCTTTATATATGCATACTGCAAATGAAACATTCACAACATTCTCATTGTAATCAGTGTAACGAAGAATTACGCAATTAAGATATACCAGGTTTATTACAACATTTACAAAATATATATACACATAATCTTTATAAAAAATCGTCACAAAACGTCACAAAACGTCACAAATTTGTCATTTCTGCATATAATATTTAAGAAATAATTACTCAACTTTTTATCCTCAGGATCTTTTTAAGTACCATCACTCTTCATTTCAATTTTTTATTTACTTGATTCATCAGATTTTCTTGTTTTAATACATCCACGTTTTACCAAGGCTTTGAAATGGTCACGACATTGGTAACCGTTCCTACCAGGTATAGCGAGAGAAAATTCTCCCCATGATCCATGATGTCCAAACTCTTCTAATCGTTTCATAAACAATATATCTTCATCTTCGGACCATTTTCCTTTTTTTTGGGGTTCATCCAAACAAACATTTCTAAATAGATGGTAATTATTATGTTCAAGAGGATGCTGCTTTGATATTTCCACATCATTTATGTTTGTATTCGGCAAAATTGATGTAGTTGATGAAATCGGAAAAGTAGGTAAAGTAGGTAAAGTAGGTGAAGTAAGTGGACTAGATTTTGTGGATGATGATGAACAAGTCAACGTTTCATTAAGTATTGAAGGAATAGGTGAGATGGTTTCAACTTCATCATTTTTATACAGAGCCGCTATTTCCTTTTGTTCATCTGTAATAAAACGGCTTAAGTACACTTTCAATTGACGTTCTTTAATAATTTGTCGAATATCTTCAAGGTACATTGAGAAAGACATTTTATATAAAACTAAAGTTTCATCTCCTTCACAGTCTTGTAATGCAATGTCAATTTCTTCATAACTAGCAAAATTAAAAACTGATTTGATAAAATTTATCTTACGTTCTTTCATAGGTTCATCCATTACATAATTGAACATATTACTATTATTATGCTTCTGAAGATATATAAAAGACATGTTTTTTTAAACTTGATAAAAAAAAAAAAAGAAAAAATATTTTTTATCACTTGTTATTGCTGAGAAGTTATTATTTAAGTTCAGTATCAAAAATTTCAGATGAGAAGTGAAAAAAAAAAAAATTTAATTATATCAGAATAGAGATCTTGATAAAGAATGTTTAAAGATCGTGTTGTTCATACTACATACGTTTGATCAAACTAATGATCAACCAATAATATGCATTGTCTTTTCATTGTTTATATCAAACAGTTTTGTACTGTTATTCAGATTTCAATTACGAATTTAACAATGAAGTTAAAATAGTTAAAATGAAGTTAAATAGTTTAAAAGAAGCATCATATAAATATATGTTAAACCGGTAAGTACTCACTATTTCTTATCTGTGATATAAAAAAAAAAAAGCAATAAGGTCCGTTAAAATGCATTATATATACATTACAATGTGTTATATTAATAAACACATGTTTGATTAATTGATTAATTACAGATTATTATCAGTTATTACCAAATTTACTCGTATTTTATAATATTTCATTTACTTATTATTTGAGTAAAAGTAAAAAAAAAAGTATACAGAAATTTTGTGCAAATTTCTACTTAAAAAAAGCAATAAAGAAGAACTCTACCTTTGCTTTGTTTTTCATATTCTCATTATGACAGTGTATCTTTGATTTTTCTCTATTACATTATTAACATTTCCTTTTTTTTGGTTTTCTTTCTTGACCTCTTATGTGGTTTTTATTTATCAACGAATTTTTGGATAACACCACCAGTTATTGCGGCACTCTTTAAGTTTAACCCAAAATAACCATCCTAGACATTTAAAACTTATTGTCAATATTGTCATCTTTCTTCATATATATTTTTCGACTTCCCCCAAGTACAACTCCCTTCGGACCATAAACATAATTATCAAATCGTGCATTTAAAAGGGGTTGTTACTTAGTTTAGAAATATGTAGCCTGGAACTGAATGCACTTATGGAAGGTATACATAGTGTACTAGTGTAGCCGTGTAAGTACTTAATCTTATCGGTATTATGTTATTATGTATACACCGATTTCAGTTATTCCACCGACTTAGAAAAATATAAAATCCATCGAATATTAATGAGCCGTGTAAGTACTTAATCTTATCGGTATTATGTTGTTATGTATACACCGATGTCAGTTATTCCACCGACTTAGAAAAATATAAAATCCATCGAATATTAATGGGCCGTGTAAGTACTTAATCTTATCGGTATTATGTTGTTATGTATACACCGATGTCAGTTATTCCACCGACTTAGAAAAATATAAAATCCATCGAATATTAATGGAATAACAAGTATGAATTCCGCCAAACACCGATGTCTATATAGAAACATCAAATAACTAATATATTTATTGACCATGACTTGAACACTAGGAGAAAAACTTAGAATCCTTCATTTTGAAAAGAAATAAGAATATATATAAGCTGACAAATAAACCCCAAAAATAATTCTGTTGCCATTACTTTTAACCCACAAAATCGGTGGTAAAATCTAAAGAAATAAATATTTTAGTTCTTAAGAGATTTTAAACATTTCAAATATTAATATTAATACAGTGGTTTAGCGTTTACCCAATAATTTGGAAAAATTTAGCAAAATCACTGAGAAAGTCTTGGAAAAAAATCAAATTTTCTTTATTAAAAAAGACAACTTTATTTGGGGATTTTGTAAACTCATGATAATGCATATTAATGACTATAAAAAATTTTTTTTCCAATGTAATTTGGGATATAATGATATAATGTTAATATGAATCCATACTTCCTGCTAGATACTAAAGGAAAGAGTAATCCAACCGGATAGAAGGATACCATCTGCTGAGCAGAACTACTAAAATACTACTGAACTTGAATATAATTGACAAACTTGACAACATATTTCTAATATTAGTGATAACAACCTATAAAGGTAATGATTACAATGGAAAAACTATCTGAAATCATATTTTGGCATCCAATAGTCAGAATCTTGCCTGTAGGGAAAGACTTGCGTCTTACATAAATTAATAATAGTATTAGTTGCAAATTATTACCAATATAGTCTGGACAACTACCAAATTTGGAATAATTTTAATTTTTTAAGCTTTATAAAGAAATTTTTTTTTTTTTAGATGAAATTATGTATAATCAATAAAATATTTTTTTATCAAAAAAAAAAAAATCCACTTGTGCCAAATACGATGATAATGCGGTGCATCATGCAATTCATGCATGGTTCTGATAATCCAAAGAGAAATAATAAGCCCAAAGAGATTTTTTTCTTTTTCGCGAAGATAAATAAATAAAAGATAATGGGGAAAGATTATAAATTTTTTAAAAAACAACAAATTTTTATATTTCTTACGGGTTTGATATATATATATATATATATAGTATCATAAATATTATAAATACTGTATCTTATTATGAAAATAATTTAGTAACAAGCAAATATTTTTTATTAACTAAATTTCTTTGATTTTTATATAATTTTAAAAGCTTCTAAATATATTTTATGGATAGAGGTTCTATGATTGTTCTATTAAACTTAGAATTATACAAATGACAAATGAGTTTTTTATATGAATTTATGAAATGATTTTTTTTAACATAAAAAATAACATATATGTACACTTATATAATATTTCATATTTGATAATGACACTTCTTTTATATATGTAAATAGTAAATTGCTTATTAAAAAATATAGTAACATACTATATATTAGATTTAATGATTTCTGAAAATAAAAATTTCGCACATTTCAGCTTTTCAGGTAAAGTTATAACTTATAAGCGTGCTCACTTTTTTTAATCATTCAGATATAATCTTAGCTTTTAAGATATCTTATTTTCAATCATATGCAACGCGATGTTTCAACGACATTCTTGGTAAATTACAAAATCTTAGCAAATTTATCAAGATATCAGTTAATGAAAACATGAGTTCGAAAATTCGTGATTAAGCATGGTATAAGATTGAACATAACGTATTCATCATATGTATTCATTAGATAAATAAAATGAAGTTTTTTTTTGATTTTAGCGAACTTTTTTTTTCTTTTTAAAGAAATTTATGTATTATATGTATAAAATTTCGTTATAAAATAAAGTCAGGAATATAGGTATATGAATACATAATAAACTCTCTATATATGCTCTTAAAAAATTTGTTTATGTAAATAATTTTTCGACCTAAATGATGCAACGAAAAAATAAATGCCATTTCTAATAAGAATAATTTTACTCCATAACGATATTTTCAGTATCTAATGACTATTTTTTTTCTTATAGCATTTCCGAAGAATTTATTAGCATCATCACAACGTAATGCTTTACTAAGGCTAATGTTAATTTATTAATGATACTTTGCGTTTCTAATCTCGTCAGTAATAATTAATTGACAACCATTAATTTCAGATCAATAGATGTAAACAAAATTGGACATCATTAAAACGAAACTACAATATGTTCACAGCTAAGAGCCAAATCACGTAATTTAATGTATTCTGTTTCTTTAAGTTAAAATATATTAAGAATAATTCTTTTGTATTGAAAAGTCTGTGATTTTATTACGTTAACTAGTAATAATGAGGCTTTATAGAACAATCTGTATCGAATATAATCATCTGTAAAGTTCAAAAATCAGAAGTTTAACTTCCTAAACGATTTTTTAATCCTTTGGGTGAGTTTTCTATCATTCATGACACACCCAACCTGATCAAAAAGTGGAAAAACTCTTACAGGAACTACTACTGAAAGAATTTATATCTGTAGCTCATAAATCAATTTTTCATTGTTAACTAGTGTGGTCAGTGTGCCACTTTATAAAAGTCCAGTCACTGGATCTTTATGTCCAAATAGTTCAGTTTTATATCCACATTATAATATTTTTTCAGTTTTGGGATTCTTATGAAAGATAGAGTAAAAAGGTTATCTTTTAAACAAATAGAAAGGATTGGACATTGAAAGTCATCAAGTTCAATCTTTCCGAAATTTTTATATCTGTCATTCGTGTATGTGTTATATTCATGTATGTGTTATTAATGAATAGAAAAAAACAAGCGTATACAAATTGCAATACTTTGAAAAAAGATATTATATATTATGTTTAAATAATGAGTTTATTTTTGGTTTTTTTAACAAAACATATACATATATATAATATATCTAAATAAATAATGAAGAAAAAAATTATTTACTTTGTATTTGTTAAAAAAAAAAAAAAAAAAATTTTCCGAAAGTACAGTACATTAGTCATCTGTTATCGCAAATATGAGTCATTACGTATTTCTCATAAAAGTTTGTATATATATATAACTATTTCTTTTTTTATTTTTTTTTTTTTTAGGTTTTTTTTTCTAATATGTAGTTTATGTACTTTATGCACTATATGCACTACATGCACCCCCCCAAAAAACACCCTCTCCCAAAATTCACATTAATGTTTAATTGAATGATGTGAAATGCTGTGAGTGATGATGAAAACGAATGTTTATGATAAATTACAGTGGATGAAATGTATGGTAGTAAAAGGAAAAAAGGGTAATTACCTAATAATGGTAATTTTAAGAATTTTCTTTTTAAGAAAGGAAGGATTAATTATCACCTAATAGTCAGGTAATGAAAAATTATTATAATTATTGTTTGTTTAAAATTCTATCCAAAAAAAAATTGTGTTTCCAAAAAAAAGTCCTTATATCTATTATTATTATTATTCTTTCTATATCTTGCTTCCATAACCCCCATTTACATTTGTACTTGATGTGGATGTTGATAATGATGGCCTCGATTGATGAGATTGATGAGGTTGTTGATTATTATTTTTTGTTGCAGTTGCGGAATTTCGTGTTAAATATCTCATCAAAGCTTCTCTGATATCTTCTTTCTTTGCTGGTTTTGATACAAAATCATTCATACCACTTTCTATACAACGGAACCGATCATACCATAATGCATTTGCTAAATAAAAAAAAAAATAAAAAAGTATTACAATATAATCATACATAACCTTACAAATTCTGCAATACTCTTTTTATATTTTCGTTTTTTTTAAAAAATATTTTACCTGTTAATGCAATAATCCACGGTCGTCTTAAATCTTGAGAAGTGGATCGAATTTGTTCGGTAGTCTGAAATCCGTCCATATCGGCCATCATAATATCCATAAATATAACATCATAATCCTTTTCTTCGCATTTACTTATAGCAGTTTTTCCAGACCCTGCGATTTCACATTTCTGATTTAATTTTTCGAGTATACGCGATGTAACCATCTAGTAACAAACAATAAATAAATATACATTGTACTATACTGATTCCAATTTTCAATTATCGGATTATGAAAAGAATCGTAACTAACCTGATTTATGACATTATCTTCAACAACCAACACTTTTAATTTAGGTATATCAGTTTCAACATTACCGAACTTAAGACATTCAGACGGTATAACGGAAGTATTATCGTTTGATATTGTTTCAAAATTAGACATATCAAATGAAACTGGTAATGTGGCCGTACGTCTTATGGCATGTGATCCTATTTTAGGCGAATTCTCACTCTCTGAGGATTTGTTAACTAAGGATAAAGTAGGTAAATTGGTGGTCGATGCGGAATTTTTTCGATTGTATCCGGGACGTTCATTTGATGATAAAGATATTCTACGTTGTTTACTCGTTATATCACTATAATATTCATCCGGACTACTGCTTAAATCTATTAAAGGTAATTCCTCTTCTGTTTGAGTGTCATTATTTTGTGACATTATTTCACTATTAAAATCACTGTCGTACGAACCATTACAACTGTAATGCATTATTGAACCTTCATTATTCGTTCCGATGGATTCAGTCATTACCAATGTCGAATTTTCGTCTTCTTCTCTTAAATTCCATTCTAAAAAGCTGAGCATAGGTTTAAATTTCACAGGAAGAGAAGAAAATATTACATTATCTCCTTCTATTTTAAATGATTTAATAGATCTTTGAAGTGATGGATTTACTAATATCAATATTGGTATTTTTAACAATTTATCTTTTATTCCATTTTTTAAAAATTCAATTTCATTATTTTCAACCAATAATTGAAAATCTATTATTATAGCGTCTATATGTCCTTTAAAGAAATCGACATCTTCAATAATTTGTTTTAAAGAAGTGAAAAATTTTGGAGATCTCTGCAAACCACATCGATTTAATATTTGTTTGAGGCCGATCTTGTTATTCTCATGTTTTTCTAAAATGGATAAAGATTTTTGACGTAAAAATGGTGATAAACTTGGACATGTTGGACTATTTGGATCAACATCAAGATCAACATAAAATATCATTTTTGTTCCACTACTTGCTGAAGTATTTTGTTCAACAGTGATATCTCCGTTCATTAATTTAACCAACTTTCTAACAATTGCTAATCCAAGGCCTAAATATAACAAAAATTTATTAACGAAAAAGATACATATATTTTTGTGGTCATATAAGTAGGAACTTTTTTTTTACCTGTTCCACCGTATTTACGTGTAATACTTGCGTCAGCTTGCGAAAATTTCTCGAATAATTTCGGTAAAACTTCTTTTGATATACCTTTAATATATTATATTTAAACAGAATGAATAATGATTATTCCTTAAATTTCTTAACTGATTACTGTTTTAATACTTACCGATACCTGTATCCGTGACTTCAGCTTTAATCCTAATTTTCTTTGTGTTATTTTTTTCAACGAATTCACTACAAACTGTTATCATAACATCTCCATCCGCATTAGTGAATTTACAGGCATTTGACAAAAGATTCACGATAATTTGTCTAAATCTAGTCATATCTCCTATAACGTTATAAGGTACATTTTTATCGATAACGTAATTAATACGAGGTCTAGAAGTCTCCTGTCCTTGAAGTGATACTATATCTAATGAAGTTTCAACAGCTTCATGCACACAAAAAGGTACGCGTTCCAAATGCAATTGTTCTTCTTCATATTTTGAGAAATCCAAAACATTATTAATAATTGTTATCAACATATCACCACTCTTTTTGATAATTTCCAACATGTCCCGCATTTCAGACATTTCTTGATGTGATAAATACGGCATTTCCAGCAACATTGAAGTTAACGCGAATATTGCATAAAGAGGTGTTCTCATCTCATGGGACATAACTAATTAAATGTAATTATATTAATATTGAAAAGCGGAAAAATTTTTGGATATTAAATATTAAATATTAAATAAATATTTCAATTACCTGCTAAAAATTCACGATGGGCCTACAAGTATATATATGTGTTATATAATAAGTTAGATACTTAAGTAATTATATCAAAAAAAAAAAAAAAAATCAATTTATACCTGAATGGCAGAAGCCTCTTTTCTAGCCTGAATTAATGCCTCATTTTGTTCAGCAAGTTGGTGAATGCGAATCTAAGAATGAAATATATATATATATATTTTTATAAGAAACTACAATGGTCTACTTGTTACTGAAAAAAAATTTAACATTATTTTTACCTTATCTTGTTCTATTAAGCTAGCTTGAGACAAAGCAATAGAAATTTGTTCAGATAAATCTGTCAGGAATGTTCGGGTATTTTCCCATTTCTCTTGTGTCAAATATTCAACTTGATCCCAATTTTGTATTACGATTATACCATTTTCATTTTCAGATATCGCGATTGGAACAAGAATAATCTTTTTATTTTTAAAATTAATAAAATTTGATTATTAAATAAAAAAAAAATATAATATATATATAAATTTATAATTAAATTACTCACCTTATTTATATTTTGGTAATCACCTTCCAAATATAAGTTTGCGAATTCTTTATCGTCCAGGCCGAGTATAGTAGCTGCACGTTTTTCGATAGTAGAATAAATTATACTACATTCAGGATTTAATTGAGAATTTACATTTAAAGGGGATTCTGAACCATCCACATAATCTTGTGCACATCTCCATCCTTCAAATTTAGCTTTAATAGATTTACTAGTAAAAATTTGACATCGATCAGCTTCCAAAATACCACATAATTGAAAAGCTGTATTATGATAAATTATTTCTTTGGACAAAGTAGCACGAATAGCATGTGTGATACGTCTAAAATCTGCCATTGTTTGATTTTCATCGCGTAAATTACTTTCCGTTATTAATCTTACAGCAATTTCATCTTTATATTGAACAGCCTTCATTGGCAAATCAAGAGCTTTCGGAATGATTACAGTTAAAGCACCAGCTGTAAAAAGTGAAACAATAGCACAAATTACTTTTATAACCGCGGAAAGCACGTGTGTTTGATACCATGCCATCCAGGAGGCGACGATATGTGTTGTACCGCACAATATAATGAAAGCACAGAATAAACCAAAAACTAAAGGAAAAGGAAGTTCTATACCTGTCTCTTATACACATCTAGATGTGTATAAGAGACAGACATAAGAAATTGATGTATTCAATATTAATGTAACATTTTTTTTAAGCAATGTACTTATAAGAATCAACATTTATATATATATATAGTATCATAAATATTATAAATACTGTATCTTATTACTGTCTCTTATACACATCTAGATGTGTATAAGAGCAAAGAGAAATAATAAGCCCAAAGAGATTTTTTTCTTTTTCGCGAAGATAAATAAATAAAAGATAATGGGGAAAGATTATAAATTTTTTAAAAAACAACAAATTTTTATATTTCTTACGGGTTTGATATATATATATATATATATAGTATCATAAATATTATAAATACTGTATCTTATTATGAAAATAATTTAGTAACAAGCAAATATTTTTTATTAACTAAATTTCTTTGATTTTTATATAATTTTAAAAGCTTCTAAATATATTTTATGGATAGAGGTTCTATGATTGTTCTATTAAACTTAGAATTATACAAATGACAAATGAGTTTTTTATATGAATTTATGAAATGATTTTTTTTAACATAAAAAATAACATATATGTACACTTATATAATATTTCATATTTGATAATGACACTTCTTTTATATATGTAAATAGTAAATTGCTTATTAAAAAATATAGTAACATACTATATATTAGATTTAATGATTTCTGAAAATAAAAATTTCGCACATTTCAGCTTTTCAGGTAAAGTTATAACTT